AAACCGGGGCGGGCGGCAGCTTTGCGCCGAGCGCTGTGTCGGGCTGCCCGCCTCCGCCGCCTCCCGGACGCGCCCATGAAGCTCATCGTGCCCAAGCAGCACTGTAAGCAGCGCCCGGGCAGGGGTCGGTCTGGGGGGTGTCGCGGTCTGCGTGCGCGCGCCTTCTCCTTCCCAGACACTGCTACGGTTAGGGTAAACGTTGACCTGGGAGCTGAGAGCAAATTACTCTGATAGAAAAAGCGTAACCGCGATGGGTTTGCAGCAAGCTCCTTCGGAGCGTCGCCGGTAGCTTTTGTTGAGTTAGTCTGTGAGGTGTTTACTGAACTCTGCCTACTTAAGGTATGAGTTTCAGACATCTTTATTTGTAACGCAGTTATGTAGGGTTTATTGCTTAATAGTATGTTTTCCTTATTTTGTCATAGTTGACTCCTTATGTATAGGTATGAAGCTATTGAATGATTCCGTGGTAAACTCCACAAGTGAAACAATCCAGTAAGCAAAGCACCCTGATGCTTCACGCTCGCTTTGCGAGCCCTTCGAAGAAAGCCAGCAGATGTGAGCTGCCTTCCTAAAAGTTCAGCGCGTTTCGAAAGGATAATCAGGGGTAATCGGGATCACAGCTGTCCACTGCCAAAACTTAAAGATGTTTCTGCTCAGTGGGAAGCAATGTGCATTCAGCTACTCTGGATTTTTCCTTCTTTCTTTTGAAATGCATACTTCAAACAACCTTTCTGTGTAAGCAGAACAGAAACAGCGTTGAAGAGCTGAAGCTTTTACAAGGCTACTTATTAGTCAGTGCCTTCTCCAGCTTTTTAAATGTTTTTGCTGAGCTGCACATACCACATTCCCTTAGTGTTCTATGTATTGATTAATCTTGTAGTGCTTACAGTACCTGTTGATAGTTAATTTATTCTTCTACCAAATTTAACATATTGATGACCAAATCATTCTTTGTTGCAAACTGGTTTTGTAGTCCGTCCAGCTTCACATTTGTATTCAGGAACAAAAACTGCAGGACTTGGACTAACTTAGGTTTTGAGTTCTTGTAGCTAAGAAGAGTCAGCACTTGCATATCAAACTCTTCATAATAGTAAAGACTATTTTGAAGCTAATAATAAGGTTTTTAAGGGTTCATGTAACCACTTGAATAAGAAAGAATGAGGAATTTGGAATTTCTCTCCTGCCTTGAGGGGAAGAAGAGCCCTTCAGAGTAAAGAGTGTGACAGTAGCTATGGTACCAAAGACATATGACAAGTCTTCAGTTGCAGGGTTTTAATGAAATGAGTCTTTAATGAAAACAGCAAGTGACAGAGTTGCTTTGTAGAACTACTTTGTGGGCAGTTTTTTTGCTGAATAAAATACATGAATTCTTGCTGATCTTGTACTCCTTAGTTTATATGGTTTATTTTGTACAAGAATAAACTTGCAAAGTAGTATCAGTCTTGTAGGAAAATATGATAGCACATTGTCACCAGCTTTAAAAGTTCATTTAACTATATGCAAATTTTGCTGGTACTGCACAGGTTGCCACAGTATCCAACTCTAATGAATACTACTCAGTCCCGTTTTACGGGTTTTTGTGTTTAATCCTGGCCTTTGCAGATGTTTGTTCTGTGCTTAAGGGCAAATTGCAAAATGAAACGCAGTTGCCACATGGCATGTAGGACTTCAGTATTGATTGTGGGATTTGCTTTGCGTGGTGGAAAAGATAATGAGATAATGAACATTTCCCAATATTTCAACAAATTAAACCTATCGTTCAGTAGTGATTCATCCTTTAAATCTTTATACATTGTATGTTTTCTTGATTTTTTTTTTATTTCTGCCAAAGTGAGGTAGACTTCTATATTCCCCTGTCTTTTTCCCCTCAGAGGAGGGAAGGTTAGCTGTGAAATCAGTGTTTTTTGCTGATTAGCCTATGGTCAGAGAGGATCTGGGGACTAACTTCCTTTCCTTTTAACTCACCCTCTGCTGAGAAGCTTGTCTTTGCTTTTTTTTTTTTTTCTTAGTTGAACAGGATGAGTTGTCAGGGATGTTAGGCTTATGTCAGTTTTCTGGTTCAAATTATTAGTGCAGAATCTTTGAGACTGGGGTTTACATTACCTTTCTGTATCACAGCACGGCATAATGAATATAGATAAAGGCTGTTATGATGCCTTGTGCTGTGAAGTGCTTGGGAAGAGAATAAAACACTGAAGTGTTGTGAATTCTGCAAATTTCAAAAGCATGCTGATGTGCTATGTTTTTCATTTAAAATGTGATCTTTGAACAGAAGAAAGCAACAGAGCAGCTAAGTGACTTCATTGATCTCTGTGAAACAGCATTGTAGCCAAGTAAGGACAAAGATTTCAGCATGGTGGTTAACTAGACTGGTGCTTCACAGCATCATTCTACATCAGACCTAGGGAAGAAGCCAGCTGAACATCTTAATTCAATTCCTTTTCTTCAATTAAGATAAAGCTTTGAGGTGTCTGTTTAAATCAGCGTCTTGCTTCTCATCCAAGTCAGCTGGTAATTGTTAGGGGTCAAAGAATGTGTGTTTTGAGGTGTAGTGCCAGTTTAACCATGGCAGTTGTATTCCATATTTGTTGTAATTTCTAAGCGCTTTGAGTTGTAGCTTTGCAGTGAAGAATGCTTTTGGCCAGTATTTAGGTTGACACCTGTGATATTTTGCTGCAGCATGAAAGCCAGGTGGAAACCGGAAAACGTAGATTTTTTTCACCTGCAGTGATGTTAAATACGGAATGCCATGATTACATAGTATATTGTGGTGAAGAATACCAGACTGAAAATGGGTTTGGTTTTGCTGTTGTTTGACACAATGGATAAGTACGTTATAGGTTACTGGAATTTTGTCCAAGGCATTGAAATACTCCACAGTCTTTTCACTGAAGGATTTCTTCAGGTGACGTGCTGCTTAATGTTAGTCTGCAGTTGACTTTAATGTAGGTAAGTGTGAGGAATAGGAATAGGACTGGTCATAACAAGTTGAACTATTTGGTGTGTTGTGGTTCAGCATCCTGGAAGTTAAAACTGCCTTATCGGCCTTACCAACAACATGATGTGTTATATGCCGATGTGTTTCCGACGCGTGAGAAACTTAGGAAAATCACTTCCATCAGGCTGGGTGCTGTTAGATCAAAGAATGAGATCCTGGATAGCTAATCATTGTTTCTGGTAGATTTGTAACTTTGGCTTTTGTTTGTTAGGGTGTGTTTTAATGAAGCTATACAGGCGAGGTAATGACTGGTCTCCCAGTGCTGTCTTCAGCAATCACTTTGTGGTAATATGACTATGTATGTGTGAGTGGTCGCAACTGTTTAACAAACAGCTCTGAGCTTTTGGTTTTGAAGTTCTTCGGGTTTGGTGTTTCTTTTTTTCATTTTCTGGTGAAGAGGTTGACATTCAATAAGGCCTTACTGCTAAAAATGAACTGGAAGGCTTCACCTAAAATATATGCCTGACTTACGTAGCTCTAGCTTTGTAAGGTTTCAATAAACTTCCATTACTAAGCAGATATACTTAACTTTTTAAGCTATATCTTTATTTTTGTTCAAAGAAAATGTAAATGCTTCCATTTTACAGCATGTTTGGATTGCTCAAAATAACTGTGTAAAATAGGAAGAAGTAACTGAAAAATGTATGTAAGCTATTATCAGCTTTTTAAATAGAAAGCAGCTTTCAGAAGCTGTGAGAATCTCTCTTCTTATGTGTGACTTGTTTTGATTTTTTTTTTCCCCTCCCTATTTTTATTTTTGGCTCTCTCTCCTCTCTTCCAGTCTCAGTTAAAACAGGAAGTTCTTACATCATCAGAGCATCATGCAATGCAAATTAAATGCAAATGAAAAATGTAAATGAAGTAATAGGATTTCACCATGTATATGTCCAAGAAGAAAAGCAGCTGAACATAAGATATTTCATCTGAGATATTTGACTAAGATGTCAGAGTCTTGATACCACTTCAAGGGATTGATAAAAAATAGAAATACTGTACCTGTGTTTGAGGAAATACACGTCTTGTGAGAGAGATGTGTAAGCTGAGTTTTGTTAAAAGAAGAAACTGCTGCAAATTGGTAATGGGTAAATCTAGGGTTCAGGTAGAGAGAAGGAAGGTCTAACCAGGAGGATTTAGGCACAATCTCTTTCTAAGAGCTGAGGAATAAAATGATTCAGTTAACCTTACGTGGTGGTCATGTAAAGATATGAAAAGGATTACCCTTGGTTATCCTCTCTAATGGGGGGGAAATGTTACTTAATGACCCAGCAGTTCTCTTTTTTTCTTGCTTCCCTATGCTCTTGTCAGTGTTGTGACTTGATAGTTAGCCTACACACCCCTTCCTTACGTTGTAAGTTAAGCATGTGATTTTTTTTAAAATCAAATGTGTTAGATTCTGAATGTAACATGCCTTATAGGAATAGCCTTACAGGTTCTTACTCCTCAAAGTTTATGCAGGAACTAGGTAAAAAGTGTCATGGAGTTTCTCATGAGTGAACCTTTCCCCCAGATAGCACAGCTGTTGGTGTGCATCAGATTACCTAATGATGCAGTGCTGTAGATACCTTCTGTTTGCATTGTCCCATGCTTCTGCAGCTGAATTTTGGAGTAGTAGTGATTTTTATCTCAAGATAACAAACCTGTAAGTAGTTGGTGCAGTTCATTAACATAAAGAGAATAATTTTCTTGAGAAGATAAGCCAAGTCTTTGATTTATGCTAGGCTTTTAAGAACGTATGTTTCATCTCGATGCTTTCTGCATCAGTTCTGTGGGACCTAGAACTAGATTTTATACTTGTCTTATTTTTTGACTCACTGTTGTGTAGCAGTACAGTAGAATAGTTCTGTTTTCTCCACAATAATATACTGCATTGATGCAGTAGGTATATTGCATACTGACTTTGCTGAGAAGGGATAAATCGGCTCATAACAGTCTTATCGAATAATTTTATTTAAGTGCATCTTTTACACTGTGAAAGCATTTCTGCAACACATCCAGTGTCTTCATTTTTCATAGTAAATCACACAATTTTCAATAACTCTTATCAGCTTAAGATGTCACTGTGATGGATTTCACATTTTGCTCCTTGATTTCCTGGATTTTAATCACTCAAGATACTGGACACTTATTCAGGTTATCAATGAAATGCTGGACTTCCAGTTTAAAACAATTAAAAAACAATCCCAACACAATTTCTCCCCCATTTTCCCTCAGGTCTGTGGAGACTATCTACAAAAATGCTCTTTTTTTTTTTCTTCTTTATACCTACTGGTTGTAGCAGTGAGGGCTCTCATAATTTTGGTGACCCCTGAATGGCCTTATTCTGTGTTGAGGGAGGCAGGAGAACCCAGGAGCACCTTGCAGTCTGCATGCTTGCTCCCATTAGCATTGCATTCAGTGGTGTCAGGAAATTTGAAGTGTATAGCTACCAGCTAAGGTGGGTTGTCTTAAGGTGCTGAAAAGAACTGATGGTGCTTCAGTGGTGCATTTTGTTCTGGAACGTACTGATAGTAACAAAAGATACAATGAGCAAATTTTTAAAATAATTACTGGAATACGGAAGTGTTTCTACTGTCATTGGAGTTGTACGGAAGAGGTATGAATTTCAGCAGGGCTTGTTCTTTGTCCTTATTGGTTAACCAGTCAAAATAGTTGTCATCTTTATTACAAGTGATTCCAACAAATAGTTGGTGTTAGCAGCTGTGAAGAAAACTAAGCTGCTGCTTTGTGTAGCTGAAATACCAGTTGTTGTGGACAGATCTTTTGCTCTTTATTTGTGCTGAAGAAAACTGCTTCTGTTACAGGAGCAAAGTTCTTTTCTTTCTGCAGCTCTGTGGCTCACAACAGAACAAAAGGAGCTTAGATTCACAGAGAGAAAAAACTAAAAAAAACCCATGACTTGGTATTATTTCTGCTTACTTCTGAAGTGTGAGCATTATGTGTACCTATCCCAAGAACTATACAGACTTGAAATAACTTCATAGTTGTTTTGTACAGTACTTATTCTTTGTTAATCAGTTATGACCCCTCAAAATGTTAGGAAGGAAAGCAAATGTCTTGGCAGTCATTTGTGAATAACTCAGCTGTTAGTACTAAACACTATTGCTGGGCTTGTGTTTGATAGGAGGATGGAATGCTTCTTCCCTCTCTTAAAGATTTGGATCTACACTACAGTTTTAAAACAACTGTTGGTGCAGGTAGATTATAGCAGGTTTTATGCCCTTAATGTGAAATACTGGAAGTTGGTTTACCATTAGCTACAGGTTCTCTATGGCATGGTCCAACCATGCTGCTTTTAAAATTAAACTTCCTGTCTGCATAGTTAAGATGCGTCCAAGGAAGAGACTTACTGTTCCAGTGGGACAGGTAATTAAAGTTCGCAGTAGCTTAGATAAAGGTTTGTGTAAATCACTAATGGGATTGATGTCCTGAGCTCCTCTGCATTGTAGTGTTGTACAGGGTAGACCAGACTAGTTTTGCTTAAATATTTATCTTGTACTTCCAAAAAGTGTTTGAGTTTCAGGTTAGTGTATGGTAAAATGTTTTTCCTTTTTAAAATAAAGCTTATTTTTAAAACACTTATTTTGAATTCTTCTTATTTCAAGGAGCTCTCGAGCATCTGCATAGGATATATCATCTTGAACCTCCAATTAGACTTCATTTCAGTGTCTGTATGTTGCAGCTTATAGGGCATGGAAAAAGAGATTAGACTTTACAACAAATAGCAGTAGGTGGTCTTAAAAAAAGAAACTATAAGCAAGCTACTTCATGTGAGTTCATGTATTAGCCCTGCCTTGTCCCTGGGGGTGGAGAGAAACTGATGAGTCAGTTACTTGGCATACAGCAGTGGGGTGAAATAACTGTTTTAAACATCTGACATTTAAGGATTGGTTTTGGCGGGGGGTTACATTATAACAGTTGTGAAATTTAGACTTTTGAATTGTTCAGCCAGACAGGAATGATGCCGAGACCCTTGTGGTGAGAAGCAAAAGACTAAGCTCCTTTCAGCTTGAAGCTGAGTAACCGAATACTGATCTGTGATTACCTGAGGAAGAACGGTGTGATCAGTACCTCCCATGCTTATTAAAATCTTTGCCCTAAGTTGTTTACATTTAGGCTCACTGCAGAAATATCAGTAATGTGTTTGGTGTCCGTGGGGTGGAGTTTGTATCAACACTAAGTTGGGATGCCCTAGTTGGTAGAATCACATTTCTAGCAAGTCTGCCTGATTCTCCCTAAAGAAAGGTGACTGTGTGACTGCTTTTTTTAGAATGGATCTTAGATGTTAACCATATACTCAATACTTTTAATTTCTCTAAGAAACATTACTAGCTGCCTCCTTCTGCACTACCTATGTATAGATTTTTGTATTCTCACTTCTTATTGCTTCATAAAGTTACCTGGCTTACAATTTAAAATGTGTGTTTGTCTCTAAGCAGAGCAAGCAGGCCAACCTGCTTTAGTTAGCATCTTCTATCTGCGTATTCTCTGTAGTGATGTTCTCTTGCTATTAACAGAACAAAAACTTTGATAGACATAGGCCAGATGTGGCAAATTTTATATACGCTGAGAAGCAAATAATGGCATTTCTTGTGTAGTTATGTACTAGGCTAAGGCATGTACCAGGGAGTCTGTGCTCAAAGGACTGTCAGTGGTAAGTATTGAACTTAAAATGGCTCATTCTCTTTTTGCTAACATATGCAGGTGGTGTAGTTCTGATGGGTTGAAGTCTAGAGACTCCCAGCATAATGGGAGAGTTACGTATTGCTGCTCTTCAGACAGATCCTTGTGACTCTGGAAATTCTGACTGGTTTTGGAAAGGCAGTTATAGATATTATTCCCATTAGTGGGAATGTGACTTGAGAAGTCTTGTTCTCCTGTTTGGTTGTTCCTTTCTCCTCCCTTCCTTAGTCTATTTTAAGAATTGGTGCCAGGAGCCAGACTGGTTGAAATGCAGTAAATGTGCTCTGTCAAGAGGTGCTGACTGAAAAGTAAAATGTTCTCCTGGGGGAAAAAAAATTTGCATTTTATTAAAACCTGCTTTTCCAGAGAAGAGTATGTTTAGATATTCTTTTTCTTAACTGAGGCTTTATGAGGTCTTAACTTAGAGAGGTGTTTAATGCGTGTAAATTGGACATGCAAGCGATCACCAGCTTTCAGGAACAGATGCTGCTTCTGTGATTGCACTGAATTGTTGTTCAGCAAATATTTTAAGTGATACCTCTAACCTGTGTATTTATAGTGACTTTCTCTTTCTTCCTCTCCAACCCCCTTGTCCTTAGCATTTCCATGGTTTGGAATGGATATTGGTGGAACGTTAGTTAAACTGGTCTACTTTGAACCTAAGGACATTACTGCAGAAGAGGAACAGGAAGAGGTGGAAAACCTGAAAAGCATTAGGAAATACTTGACCTCCAATACAGCCTATGGTAAAACTGGCATTCGCGATGTCCATCTTGAACTGAAAAATTTGACTATGTGTGGACGCAAAGGAAACCTGCACTTCATACGCTTTCCCAGCTGTGCCATGCACAGGTTCATACAGATGGGTAGTGAAAAGAACTTCTCCAGTTTGCACACTACACTCTGTGCCACGGGAGGTGGAGCTTACAAGTTTGAGGAGGACTTTAGAACGGTATGTGAACAGTTCATCAGAGTTCAGTGGAAAGTACTTTGGGAAAACATCATGGGAGTCTTTCTATTAAAACTAGCAGAAAAATTATTTTTTTTGTCCATCCTAACTGGTTAAGACTAACAGAATCAATTTGCATTTGTTAATTGGTGGAATTGCTGAGAATGTGGAGGGGAGGGGGAGGGTATTCGACTTGCTGGGTACTCTACTGAAGTATTACTGTGCAGGATGTCTTGAGTAAATGTGGGGTTTTTCTTTTTTGGAGTACAGCTGTGATGATCAGATGCCTCATCATCAGCTGAGGGTGTGTTATGACAACATAGAAGCCTGAGATTAGGGCTCATCTTGCAAACTGGATATATTCTGGAAAACCTGAAATGAAACCATATAGGCTGGAGATGAGATTCAGCTTCCCTTCCCCTTGTATTAGCCTTCAAGCAGACTTAAGTTGAGAGTCTGGAAGGCCAAACATGGAGCAGGGGGTGAAACAGTGTATGAGAACATGATAATAGCAGCTAGCTTTTGATTTCAGTTCTGGGAGTATGTCATGTGAAGAAAGGCAGTTCATGAGGTGACTAGGTCCCAGATCCCCTAGAATTTAAAAGTAACCTCTGCAGGGAGCTCCAGAACCTCATGTATATCTGAAATACTGGGATGCTGCTTTTTGTATAAATTTCAGCAATAGTCCTAGCTCCTGAGTAAGTGCACTGCAAAAAATGATGGTGGCAAAAGAGGCAGAGAGCGCTGTTGTACTTCTCTGCATTAGAGAGAAATAGTCATTCAGGAGGTGCTTGTCTGCTGTGTATGTGTTTCTACTGGGGCATATCTTCATTTATTTTCTGTAAAAGAATGACTAGTCTGCCTGTACCAGAGCAGTCTCACTAAGACTAATGTGAATGATTTACTTGGCAGTCAGGTCTGACACTTCTGTCCCTAGCTTTTGACCTGATCTTGAGGGTGAGGTGTGGCTGCTGGGTATGACAGTCTACATCAGTTGTTTTTCTGTCTCTGTTTCAGTCTAGGGAGCTATCAGACTGATGTACCAAGTGTCACTGCAGTACATGGCATTGTGTCCTTCATTTTTAATACCAAGCATCTATTCCTGCAGTATAAGAGGTTTTTTCTTTGTCAATACCCCTCACCTATTAGATGTCCAAGATCCTCAAGGGGAAAGAATGCTGTAAGAGATCAGCATGATTTCCAGCTGTTATGCTGTTGTGCAGTCATTTTCAGTAAATGTTTGACATGGGAGCAGCTAGTTCAATAAAGGATTATTAAGTTTCTGAATTGCTGTAGTAGGCCACTACTAGTGCCAGATTTCTTGTCCTTTAGGTTGATTGCAAGTCCCTTACATGTTAGGGTCTACTGATGATGGAGTCCTCAAGTTTTTGGTTGCCTTGCATTGTGTAAGATTGTGGCATCACAGTAGGACATGTGTTCTAGTGCTAGTCAGTGTGGCCTCAGATCAGGTTTTCAAGCATCCTTTCATGTGGTCCAGGGGATAATTCAGGTCATGTTCTCTAGTGACAAATGGAGGTCACTTTGAGACTTTCTGAAGAGGCCGACTATCCATTTGGAATGGTGAGTCTTCCCAAATTCATCTCCCCTGCATCACGTAATGCAGTTAGATTTGCCTGCTTAATAAGGAAGTTCATGTCCCTTGCTCCTACAGCTGTAGAAATGAACTGGAGGTTACCTGATGGCTATCACAGCTAAGCATTTCTTTCCATAGCTTTGGCTTTATCTAGTGTAAATTTTCAATTTACAGTGAGAGATTGGTGTCTGTCATCTCAGCTGCAATATAGTTGACGTAGCACTGGAAGCTACAGATAAAGCTGGCATTGTTTTGCTAGCTGTTGTACAAAACTGTGAGGTCACATAGCCAATTACTGATGGACTTAAGCATGAAATCCCGCATCTCTGCAGTTAGTTAATATTCTGTGTGCTGCCACACTTGTAGGTAGTTTAAGAAAAACACTGTAAGGACTGGCTGGGTGTTTTGTAGCATAGAGCAATCAGTGGAGGGCACTCACACCTGAGTGCCTTGGACACTTCTTACAGCTGCCCAGGTCCACACCTTCCTTTATAGCAAGTATTTCTTGGCTCAAACTAATATCCATAGAGTATTAGAGAAGCAAAATACTATCTATTACCTGAAGGTTTGCTTGCTTAATCTCACTTAAAAGGGCTGAGTGTCCTGGGTGCTGGCACTGAAGTTGTCACACTTCATTAGCTATTGTAGCAGCAGCTGTCTATCTCAGTGTGTTGTACAGACTGTAAATTGACATTGGACGACAGCTTCAGGATTATGCTCTCAAGGCACTGAAATCTCTATTTCAAATATTTGATCACTCTAATGATATGTGTACAACTGTGGAGCCCTCAACGTAAGAAGGATATAGACTGGTTGGAGCGAGTCCAGAGGAGGCCACGCAGGTGATCAGAGGGCTGGAGCACCTCTCTGATGATGAAAGGCTGCAAGAATTGGGCTTGTTCAGCCTGGAGAAGAGCAGGCTTTGGGGAGACCTTATTCCAGCCTTCCAGTATCTGAAGGGGGCGTACAGGGAAGCTGGGGTGGGGGACTTTTTACAAAGGCCTGTAGTGACAGGACAAGGGGTAACAGGTTTAAATTGAAAGTGGGGAGATTTAGCTTGGATATAAGGAAGAAAATCTTCAGGGTGAGGCACTGGAACAGGTTGCCTAGAGAAGTTGTGGATGCTCCATCCTTGGCAGTGTTCTAGACCAGGCTGGATGAGGCTTTGGAGCAACCTGGTCTAGTGGAGGGTGTCCCTGCCCATGGCAGGGGGGTTGGAACTAGATGGTCTTTAAGGTCCCTTCCAACCCAAACCATTCTATGGTTCTGTGATAGAAATTTTACTGCTGGCTTCAGTGGAATCAGGACCTGAGGCAAAACCCAATTACTTAATAAAAAACACTTGGGGCAAGGAGGAAGGAAATCTGTTACCAACACAGACTTAAACTTGTGCCTTGACCTTGCCCATAACCTGTAAGAAAAATGCTTTAAGAGTAAGCTTGGCTGTTGGAGAGTGATTTCCTTGGGCCACTTACTAGATGATTCTAGGGCTTGACTTTGTGGTATGAACTGAATGCCTGTGAATGACTTGTGGACTGTATTTATCTTAAATAAACTCACTGTCCTGTGTTGTAGGATTAGTAAGCTGTGTAACTCTAGTGTAAAACACTCAAAAGTCTTGTTGCACCTCACTTGGTTGAGGAAACAAGACTGCTGATGAGGCTGTAGTGTGTAGAGTGGGCTGGAGTTGAAAATGGCATCCAGATAATGGGTGGAGTAAGCCTGATACCTTCTGTAACCATCACAGCAAGTAGCTAGGAAACTCTTCAGAGGGAATGGGGAGAAGCAATCCGCATCTCTTCCGCTTCAGGAGGGGGAAGAGGTCCTTACAGTAGCTGGGCAAGAGGGCAGATCGTCTGTACAGGATCCCAGAGTAGTGCGTTTTTACCCAAAGGTGGTGCAGAGTCTGTCTCTTTTGCCTTGGCAAATACTGGGTTTACCCTTTATTTGCATTAGATATTGTCTTGTTTGAATGTGAGTGGGTATTTCCTAGCCTCAGGGTGTGCAATGAGGTGGGGAGGGTACTTCATCTGAGCTCAAAAACAAGCAAGGTTGGGGGTTGAGGTGAAGATGATCAAAATACGAAGGAAGCAAAGTACATCTTTATGAAAGTGGAGGAGAGGTAATGGGAGGGAGATAGAAGGAAAAACTGGACCGTAAGCTATTACAAGAAATAAAAACTGGAGCAATGCCCAGGAGGCCAGAATGATACAGTAAATGAGGCTGTTGTAATTGATAATTAAAATCTCGCAAGATGTTACATTTTAACAGTTTCTTACAGGAAAAAAATGCGTATTTCTGATTGAAAGTCCAAGAGACAGATGAGCTCTCAACTGCATCTAAGTTTGGACATTCCTGCACTCACCAGTACTCAGTAACAGTGTAAATGTTTAAACTGGGTGAAATCTTCCATGAGCTGGAGCTTCACTGAAAAGATGTTTGCACACCGTTGTTGATCCATTAGGGTTCAACCCTGCTACAGATATCATGGCTGCTCTTAGCTCACTTCTAGAGGGCTGGGCTGTTTCATGTTTTCCTTGCTGAGGTGGAAATACTTCCTCACCCAGAAACAAATGTGACCCAAGTCTTTGATTTCTGTGCTTCCATGCTTCAAAGCAATAGCAAGTTGGTGCCACATTTTTTCCTTCTATACTGTCTGGTACTTGAATGCAGCTAAAAATTGTTTGACATTATACGTATTATTAAAAAAAAAAAAACCACAACTGAACTTGAACAGGCAGTACCGTTTTCCAGCACTTCTTGCAAGTGTACACCAGGAGGTGGGCTTTCATTCTCCTGAGAATAGCAACTGTACACAGTTAACAGACCTTTTCTGTATCCTTAAAGTCAGCTGGGTTTCAGGAGTTAGTTGTGAAGGTGTGAACTCTCATGGGGAAGTGTTTGCTACTTCCTTGCTGTGTTACACCCGCTTATAAACATGGTTAAAGTCCTGAGTTCCTTGAGGTCCAAAGTGTTTTGTTCCTTCCCCTCCCTGGTATTTAAAAAAAAGTCTAAAATAAAGAGGAATTTTTACAGCCTGGCTATAATGCAAAAAAATTGTTCCTCTTAAAAATATACATGTAGTTTCCCTGTAACCATTGTAAATTTTCCCTCCAGGGTCCTGTATACTACTTTGTTCTGCAATTTCTCCTCTCATAGCACAACTTTCTGACATACAGTTTTTCAGGGAGAGTCACTGTCCTAAATGTAGCTACAGGAGTGCAGAGCAGGGTAAGTTGACCAATGTCTGCCCTCACATTAGGGATTGTGAAGGGCTGGAAAATATCTGCAAATGTATTTTGTAAAAAGCTGTAGTAAAAATGTGCAATTAAAATGTGCTTCTACATGCAGCTCCCATTTTTGTTTTGCGTTTTCGTGTGTAAACTTCAGTTCCTGCAAGGAGAGGTAGTTTGAACAGCTCAAAGATGAGGAGGAGTGTGGTAGGTCAGGTGATGGCACCAGGAAAAAACAAGTGCCCACTTATAATTAACAGTGTTCACAGACACATCCATTTTGTCATGCAGTTTTGCTGCTTGAGTCATTGTGAGCAAAGAAATTAATAAAGACTATTCTATAAGCATGGAAATGGACTGGGAATTGTAACCCTGGCTCTATCATGGCTTCTTGTATAAGACTGAGTTACTAAATTTCTTGCAATTCTGCCCTAATTTGTGTTGAGGAAAAACAGTAGTGGTGGCTCACTGGGCTGTTTAAAGCCTCAGAGGTCTGGTGGCTGCAGAGCTCACAATTCTCTGAATGAAGGCAGATCAATGTGTAATACTGATGCCAGTCTTGCTCCTTCCAAAAATGAAAACCAGACTGCTGCAACAACACAGGAAAATAGTTTTTCAGTCTGATACGAATATCATACATTAAAGGAAGCAGTAATAGGGCTTTTTTGCTTACTTAAATCAGCTGTTAAATATAGCACAGAGCTCTTAAGAAGCAGAGCAAATTCTAGTATGTCTTTTATACATGGGGTGCTGGACCTAATAAAACTTCTGTGCTTAGTGCTTGAAAAAGAACCTTTGATTAGTTTCTTTTGTCCTTAAATTGGTGGGAGACTGAATGTAGAGTTGTAGAAAGAAGGTTTTTGTCTGTGTGTTTGTACTGCTAGAAGTGTTTTAGATTTATTTGTATTGCTTGCTCATGTCTTGGAAGGTCTGTCGGTGATGCTTACCTATTTTTAAAAGCATGACATGGATGAGACCAAAGCAGCGTGTGGCTGGTTATTTCGCTTATGTTAGAACAGAGGTTTTGACAGTAGGGGCCGGAAGTCTGCTAATGAGTTGTCTTTGTAGAACAGGTTTCTGCTTCACAGCATGCTTGTGCATGCTGATCTGTGTTAGATTGTGTTTGGTCATGCTGCTATCTAGTTCATACTGTAAGATGAGGAAATTGGTTTCAATGTACAGCACATAACCTAAAGAAAGCTTATGGTTAGTATAGAATCTTTCCTTGTTTTGACTAGTGACGTGCAATGTTAGTTGCATTTTAACAAAATAAATCCGCTAGAAAGTGATGACTTAGTGGGCTCTATACAATGTATATTGTGAGAAAGAATCCATGAAGCATTTATTAGTTAATGCCTTGTATTGCATATCCCTTGATTGGAGCTTTTCCTTTCAGTTTAAGAGCAAGAAATTTCTGGAATCCAAGATACTTGCCAAGTAGCCTTAAGATTTTTTGTAATTTTTTTTTTTTTAAAAACTTTTTCTCTCATTTTATGTTTATTCTTTTTGGTTGATGCCTAAATGGTTCAAATCTTTCATGCTGCATTTCTGTAACTAATTTCTGTAGCCATGTGGTAATCAAGAAAAAATATGAAGGGATTGCCAAAGTTACAGGCGGAAATACTGAAATGAGAAGAAATGATCTCCACCTGTCTCTGTTGTTCTATGAATAGTTGGATCTGTACTGACGGTCTGTGAGATTGCTGGTTTGGGGTTTTTTGGTCTTATTTCTTTTCTGTAGTTCCAGGATTTGAGGACTAGCAAGTATGACAAAAGGGCAGACCCAAAGACTAGAATGGCTTTCAGTGGAGGCAAGTTAGAGCTATGTACAAGTAGAGAAAAAAACTTACGGGGAGAGATTTAAATAGCTCAAAAGAATGTAACCTGTTGGCCCTGCCCATTCCACAGAAATATCTTTCCCCTTTATAGTGACTTAATACAGCTTCCGGAATTAATAATAGGAGGTAGTTAGCCTTGTAAATATTCTGTTAGCTGTTATAAACACATCCTGCAATATGCAGATATTTGAGAACCAGCTCTGTGCTGTGTAACTCCCTTTTGTTCCTAATACCCTGTTGCTTTTTCTGCTAGAAAGGGGAGCTAGGTAAGACCTACTTCGCAGGTAAGGATGCAAATAACCCCAGGGTTTGGATGGGCAACTTTACTATTTTTTCCTCTTTCTCCTTTACCTAACATAAGTCTAAGTTCAATGTCATCTGGAAATGAGTCTTTCTACAGATTGTCACTGCATTCTATTTCAAGAAAGGGATGTGATTTCTAATTCTAGTAAATAGAATGCTGTGGCAGGTAGACATGACTGTACAGTCCCGGGTGATCTGTGAGGTCTCAGAAGGAATGCCCTTTTTAAGCTTTTGTAATTATTTTTGTGCCTTCTGTTACAGTTATTTTTATGAATATTTTGCTGGGGGGCCTGACAAAGCTTTTGTCTGGTGTTTTTTATATTTTATATTTTCAACAAACATTGAGAATACCCTATTTTCTATAAGGCATTTTAAAGTGCTTATTGTAATCTAAAGAAATAGCTCTCTGATTACTTGTGACATGTACTAAAAAAAAAATCAAACTTTTTAAGCATAATCCACTGCATATTTAATGCATATTAACGTAAGCATTTGCACTTTGTAAGGTTTTAACTATCTTGTTCTTTAACTGAAGTTTCTTGATCTTAATGCTTCTATTCAAACTTTCATTAAATTGCTGGGAAATGTGGTTGGATGATGAGTTAAAGTACTTTGCACCCCGAGGAATGCTACTGTGCAGGCATGTGTCAGATATGCAGCTCCTCTTGAGATGAGGATAGGGGAAAGAAATGTATTGTTTCAGAATACTGGGTGGGGGGGGAGGTGTGAATGTTTCCTGCTTGCAGAGTAGGGAATATCTGAGGCAAAGGGACTAAACCACATTACCGCACACCACAGTTGTTTTGGGAAGTACCTATGGTCAGGCAGATAGCTAACTTTATTTTGGACTTCATGCTTAGACAGATCTTTGTACTGTTTAAATAATGTAATGTGTTACTATTGAAGTGACCAAAGTGCTTCAGCAGTCTCTTTTGTCCTTCTCAGTGTTGCATTATACTAGGAAATGTTTGTTAATTTCTTGTTCTTTTCTAGATTGCTGATCTGCAACTCCATAAACTGGATGAATTGGACTGTTTGATCCAGGGCCTCCTTTATGTTGATTCTGTTGGTTTCAATGGCCAACCAGAGTGCTATTATTTTGAAAACCCTACAGATCCTGAACAGTGCCAGAAAAAGCCTTACTGCCTTGATAATCCGTATCCTATGCTGCTGGTTAACATAGGCTCAGGGGTCAGCATCCTAGCTGTGTATTCTAAGGACAACTATAAGAGAGTCACAGGATCCAGGTAAATTTAATCCTATGTTTTCTTAATTCTTTTTTCTCCTTAATAATTGGACTGATAGAACCAGACAGCGTGGCTGTTAGGTGCAGCCCCAAATTGTGCTTCTGTTCCCATTTCTTTTAAAAGTCCATCAGTAGCAAGGCTGGAAATATCCTAGGGTTCCTTTAGAGAGGGGGTCTACATGAGAGAAATCATTGATCCAATCAACTTCAGAGCTGCCTTAGTCTCTTCTTGGTGTTCTTACCTACTTTGTCTGTTGCTGTGAATTGCCAAAATGAAGCTGTCCCAGTAAATGTATCTTCTCTCCCCTGCTTTGATCCCCCATAACAGCCAGAGCAATGAAATAAAAATGTTTGGGCTAAACAAAAACCTCTTGCTTAGTAGTTAGGATGCATCTAGGATATAGGAAAACTTTGTAGAATTACCAGCTACTACTGGATTTTAGTAGAGGAATCTCACTAGATCTCTTGTTTCCTTACTGATTGCACTCATCTTGGATCATACTAGTAAATTCAGGAACATCAGCATGTAAAGACTGTTCTCAATGTGATTTCAGCCTGGGTCAGCTAGTACTCTCAAATTATTTGTAGGGTATAGCTGAGTTGAAATGGTCTCTGGCCTATGTTCAGCAAGAGATTTAGGTGTGATTACTTTGTTTAGGAGTTCAGGAGTTCAGTAGTGTGGATGCAGAATTCTGTTCTCAAGGCCCAAGAACAGCCTGAGGCATGTCTAAGTTTACTCTATAGATGTGGCAACAGTGCTTACTTATAGGAAACCACTTTAGTTACAAATGTGTCCATCCAGACTAGTAGCAAAAATGCCAGTAAATTTATCCCACTTTTTTCTTGTACATGTAAACAGAATTGATATACTTAATTTTTAGTTGTCTTAAAAACAATACCAGACAAAGCACCCAAACAGAAACCTAAAAAAATCCTCTTCCAAAACAACGACCAAGAAGCTTTTTGGATTTGCTGTAGTCCCTTCTAAAGCTGCATTCTCTTCTTCAGTACATGGTGCATATTAATTAAGTTTCTCCTGTATACTGCCCATGACTGCATATGTGTCTTCTGTCGCCTTATTTAGGGCATATTTTTGCCATAATGGTAGCCATGACTGCAATCAGAGCAAATAAGCTAACTTTCTCAAGGTTGCTCAAAGCCTCATCCAGCCTGTCGTGGACGCAAGCCTGGGTTGGGGCATCCACAGCTTCTCTGGGCAACATGTTCCAGTGCCTCACCACCCTTTCCATGAAAAACTTCTTCCTGATATCTAATCTAAACGTCCCCACTTTCAGTTTAAACCCATTCCCCTTGTCCTGTCACTACAGGCCCTTGTAAAAAGTCCCCCCCCAGCTTCCTTGTAGGCCCTTCAGGTGCTGGAGGGCGGGAGTAAGGTCTCCCTGGAGCCTCCTCTTCTCCAGGCTGAACAAGCCCAATTCTCGCAGCCTTTCATCATAGGAGAGATGCTCTGTCCCTCTCATCTGAGTCCAAAGTAGAATTTTAAAGAAATGAGTTAGCCTGTTAAGCGCAGTCAGATACTGCTAAATTTATATGGTCAATAAATATTGTACTTGAGCCTGTGCAGGATGTTAAAGCTCCTTGCTTAGGGTTCTCTGGAGGGCTGAGACATTTGGGTCTGATGTTAGCCTTGCTTTGTACAGCAACCAACAGGCTGCTTCCTGCCCCAGGCTAAGGGGACAAGATCTGTCCTGTCCGGCTCTATTTAGGGTGTCCATCCTCACTTCTCTGAGGGAAGAGTAGCAAGATACAGTTGGTAGCTATGTAGACCGTGTTGCATGTGGGAGTCTGAAGAGCTGTGGGAAAAGCTGGGTCAAACTGCTGGTCTGAAGAAAATGTGCTTTTCTAGTCTTGGAGGGGGAACGTTCCTGGGCCTGTGCTGCCTGCTGACTGGCTGTGAGACGTTTGAAGAAGCACTAGAGATGGCTGCAAAAGGAGACAGCACCAATGTGGATAAGCTGGTAAAAGATATTTATGGAGGAGACTATGAGCGGTTTGGCCTTGAGGGGTCTGCTGTAGCCTCGAGGTATGTGTTAATTGAGATGTTTTTAAGGAGTTCCTTGGGAAACTTACTCTGCATGCTGAACTGAGTGCCTAATCCCTGGACTATGCACTACGTCCTTGTGGAAATGTCACTCAGTATATCATGTGCTTCGTCCTTAGATCTCTCACCTAATTCCTGCTCCTTTTTTTTTTAAACAGGTATAAGCAATGCTTGATGTAGTTTGCTTGGTTTAAATTACAGTTATTTTAGAAGTGTAATGCTCATTGTTCTGCCTTTCCACACTTCAAATCTGTCTCAAATCAATGGATATCAAATCCAAGCAAAACTTAATAAATAATAAAATTTTGGAGGGCTTTTAGCACTCCTAAGTAACTCATATAAAAAAAAAAATCTTCTTCACACAGCTTTGGTCATATGATGAGTAAAGAAAAGAGAGATTCCATCAGTAAAGAGGACTTGGCCAGAGCTACGTTGGTCACCATCACCAACAACATAGGTTCTATTGCTCGCATGTGTGCACTGAATGAGGTAAGATAGCATATTTACTATGAGCTTAAAACTTTTATAAACAACATAGTAAGATTATCAGAATACCAAAATGGAAAGTGCTGGTGTAGTAGGTATGTAACTTGGTATGTATGTCCTTGGTAAATACACATATATTTAATACGGTGTCCTAACTCTTGTGATGTGTATTATGTATATGCTTTGATGCAAAGTGTAAGGTGCTTCGAAGGGTAGGAAAGAGGGGAGAAAAGTTGACTGTAAAGATCTTGAACTGTAAATGCCTAGAGCTGTTCTGTTGTTCTCAAGCTGTAATACAGAGATATTAATGTCTTTGTAATCCAAATTAATACTCTCAATTATCTTGTAGCTATTAGCAGTTCTTACTACGCTGTGACAGGTTGTTTTTCTTTAAGTAGTATTTTGCTTGGCCTGCTTCTATAGCATGATGGGTTTGAATTGTGTGTTGTGTTAAATGTTTTGATAGATAGAAGATCCATTGTATTGGGTTAGAGAGAAGAAAAATATAGTTGTTTATCCTGCCTCAAACTCCTGTCAGATGCTCGTTACATTCTTTTCTTTAAGCATGATAACTATGTATAGCTTGTTCCATTCGTATACCTGTCCAGCTTCTAGCAGCTTAAAAAAAAAAAGCTACCCCCCCAAACATTTATGCACTTGTTTTGAGCTGCAAATTGCATCTTTACTGTCATGTGATAACTAATCTTTTATCTGCTCTCAATTAATTTATATATTGTTTTAAATACATAGATGTTCTTAGCTTCACACCATTCTGTGGTTAGAAGAAAGTGTTTGGGTTTTTTTTTACCAACAACACACCCACACAGCCCCCCCCCCCAAAAAAAAAAAAATCACCAAAACAAATCCAAGAAACTCGCCAAACTGCCATCTGGCTACATTAATGGGTCCAATCTAGCTTTTTGCTTTATGAGAAATAGCAGATAATTCATCATTAGTGCTATTTAGTGGATTTTGGTTTTATTAAAGAAAACCTTGCCACATCTCCCTCTTTGTCTTTCCAAGACAGAAAGTCCTCGTAATCAGTCTCCTTTCCTATTGGAGACACTCTGTCTCTTTTCCACTGTTTCATTTTGTCTTTCTAATCTTTTTGTGGTTCTGATTTTGAGATCAAATGATCAGATCTTCCTACAGTATTCAGCATGTTGTTGCAAAATTTATTTGTGATGGCATGTTGATAAATTGTGTTTTGAGTTCCTTTACTAACAGTTTTTAGTATTTTATTTTTGTGAGCGTGGAGCTCATGTTTTTAAGAAACCATCCACAGGCCCTCCATGGTGGCTAATTTGGAGCCGATCATTGTGTCTGAATACTGAAGCCTGTCTGCTCCTTCCATTTGTGTCGTTTCACGTTTTTAATTTCATCTATCATTTTATTCCTCAGTCACTGGGTGTCTCTTCAGCATTGCTATGCTGTTCACTTTTTATTCTGACTCTCCTGAACAACTTCGTATGCCAGTAAATGTTACGTTTGCTGCAAATATCCCTCTCTAGGGCACTCCAAAATACGTTCAACAGTCTTAGTGTATCAAATGCCACCGATAGCCACTTTTCACGATAAAGGGAGGTTATAGATATTATTTTGGGGGGAATTTAACTCTTTGTCAGGATGATTCTCCTTCAGTGTTCTCTTTGCTTTCAGCTTCTTTACAGTGTTGCCTTGTGGCATGGAGTTCAAGCAGCATTGTACAGGGCTATCAAAGCATGGAGAGTTGCAGCAGGGAACCACATGCGATGCAGTCAGAGGAGGAAATAGGCCACTAATGAAACTAATGCTTCTGAGTCATTGTGAAAAGGTTCCTAACATCTTTGTTTTGTGGGGAGGCTTACTTCAATACTGGACACTATCCACAGAATTTTGTGGAGGAATGTGGAGTGATGTGTAAAGTATTCTTCATTTCACTGACAATGTCAAAGTAGAATTTGACCAACACCTCAAGTAATTGATTTTGTAGCTTTAGAGGATGAAAACTTCATTTAGTAGTTTTCCATATTATTAGAAAAAAATCAAACATGATATGTTGTTGCAAGTAAGCTGATCTCCAGATAGCTTGTTCTGGGAGGGTGGGAGAGGGGTTGAATATGATATATTCTTTTATGGAGTTTGTGTGTATTAGATTAGTGTCATGGTGAAGCTCATTTTTAGGTTGTTTAACAAAATCAATTTGTGCCCTGAAGCATGAGTTTTGATAAGTTGTTGGGGTTGGGTTTTTTTTTTTTCCAATGATTGCAGCTTTAATACTGTGTTGAAAATGACTTGCATATGTGCAGGAAAAAATGAGGCTGGGGAATAAATGAAATATTCTGTCTGCGAACTTCAAAGCAAAGTTTGCTTGCACAAAGTTGGCAGTGGGGTAGAAAATTTCCATAGTCTGGAACCATTTGGCTACACATCGTTTGAAACAGTCTGTCCTAGGCACAGCAGAACTGCATAAAGGAAACCAATGTCCCTGGTTTATACTTCTCTTACTAGCAGAACATGTAAGTTTTTATTTGAACAAGGCTTCTTCCAAAAATATGTGTAGGTGTTTTTATTGCATCTCTGATACAGATTCCCTTATTCAGTTATATTGGCACATATGTGTACATGCTGTGTTGAAGCTGTACTATAGCTTTCTACTGCAGGGTAGTTGAACAATTTATCAAGACTCCATAGAGTGAAAGAGTGCATGTCTTTTCCAGGATGTTGTAATTTGGTTAGCTTAAGTAAGCATTTCATCACCGTCCCTTCATCATTTTAAAACTTCTTTATATGAGCTTTGAATATTTCAGCAGTGAACAACTTAGAAGTAAATTGGTAAGACTCCCTTAAGACACAAAAGTTTCCTTTCTTCATTTTGAAAAATGGTAAAACTGGTTTTAGTTCACTTAAAAATCTAGGAAACTTTGAATTTTAATTTTTAGCCTTGTCAAGGAATATTGGAAAATAAAATTTATGAGATATACATTGCTATTCTAGTAGATATGACTAGTATTTTTAGATTTAAAATTTTCAGTGATATTTTTTTTTATATACTGTGTTAAGTATTGCTTGCTTAAATTTCTGGTAACAGTAGCTTCATGTGTGTATTCAGACAAAAAAGGAGAAAATAAAATTCAAATGTAGATTCTAATGGAATTGGTTTTATTGCATTACAGAAATTAATTTGTTACATTTTTGTCCCTCCTTTGTCAGAAATTACTTGAGACAAAACTGCCTTGTCAGAGGAGGCAAAGTGCTCTTGGCTGTGTTTAATAGCAGCTTTTTTAAATCTGAAGTTCTTATTTTCAGCTGTCTAAGGTCCTAGGAACAAGTATAAATGCGTGTTGATGTGACTGCAGGGATAGAAGACTAAACCTTAATTACTTAAAGGTTGTGGTGATGTGTTTGGTTTGAGGACAGTCGGTTATTGGAGACCGGATCAATGAATTATTGCATCTGGGTATTGGCACTCTCCAATACTCAGTATTTTAGTGAGGATGTTCTCTGTGGTATGTCACGTACACAGCACTGGACAATGCAAAACTGATCTGTAGGAAGTTAATTGCTGCAGAGCCAAGTGTTGGGCTTTATAAAGCTGTATGAATGTAGAGAGCAAACGCTTGGTAATGCTAGCCTCTATGCAGATTTTTGCTGGTAATTTTCAGCAGAGGACCCTTGAAGATAACATTTCTAGGGCTCCCTCAAGACTCCTGTTAAAGCTTATGTCTCCAGGATTTGTCATCCTACTGAATTTTCTAGACCAACTCTAGTGTATGGTGAACAACATAAAGTACACCAATTCAAAACGCAAGTGCATTTTTGTGCATAACAGGTAAAACTGGGCTTGGTGAGATAGTTGTGGTCACTGTTTAAGCACCAGACCTGTTGCACATCAGTGTGAATGTAAGCATACGAGTACGGTTGGTGTGTGGCTTTCTCAATGACAGCGCAGTGCTGATTGCTCAAAAATCTTAACCTTCTGTATGAAAACTGAGTTGAAGTGAGCTTTGAAACCAAGGAATGCAATACATGTCAAGTATCATGTTGGCCACAATTTCACTTGCTTTTGAAAATGGAACCACAGTCCAGATAATAGATAATGAAAGATGCTTCTTCCCATTTCCAATGTAATCCTTCTCAGATACCTGTTGGAGGTTCTCCATCTGGATTTAATAATAGTGATCTCTGGAAAGTTGCTTCATTTAAGAAGCAGGGGGAAAAGCTGTCTTCAGTGCAGCCAAGTCATATACAATTAAAAAAAAAAATCAACAGAATATTCATCATTCTGTTCATGTTGTAAAAAGGTCCTGGTCTTTTAAGCAAATATTCACTTTTTTTGAGATAATTCTTCTCTCTCTTTCTCTCTTTTTTTTTTTTTTTTTTTGCAACATCTCTACTTGGCAGTCAGTAACTGCAATTATTTTTTTGACTCCTCAGCCTGGAGAATTTAAGTGTATCCAAAATTCCTATTTAACTTTAGTGGAGGCAGAAGTGCATGTTGAATGAGGCAAAAAATGTAGTTGAATATAATTTTTGCTGGTCTGCTTTTCAATTTTACAGAACATCGACAAGGTGGTATTTGTTGGCAACTTTCTCAGAATTAATATGATTTCTATGAAGGTACTAGCCTATGCTATGGATTACTGGTCCAAGGGACAGTTGAAAGCTCTGTTTTTGGAACATGAGGTAAGGAAGTACATGTTGAACTTCTGCTTGTAAGTACAGAAATCTTGTGGTTCTTGACTTGGTGAAGTTAAAAGGGAGAATTTTGATGCCATTGTGTAAATGCACAAACTAAGTTCTGCATAAATATAATTATTCCTTGTTAACTTCCTGGCTTGATCACTAATCTTGTGGTATTTGTTGCTAAACGTTGCACACTTCTGCTTTCTGACCCTAGTACCAACAGTGTTCATTTACGTGCCCTGGTATATAAACCTCAACTAGAATTAGGTTTTGTAAGCTTAATTTTGAGGTGATTGTCAGATGGATGTGTTCATCACGAAGTGCCCTGCCTCAGTACAGCATCGTTACAGTTGTTATGTAATTTCTTCTTTTTTTGACGATTTTGGAGAGCCATGTCAGACTTCTTCCAGTATGAGGCCTTTTCTTGGACCTAAAAAAATCATATTACATCATAACTCAGATACAGCAAATACTTGCCACAGCAAGGCTAATCTTACAAAAAAAGTCTTTTAATTTTCTTAACAGAACTGAAGGCTTCACGTGCTCATGCTTATGTCCTGTTTTGGAATGTGATTGCCTTTGTTTTGCCTTGTTTTAAAGGGTTATTTTGGAGCTGTTGGGGCTCTTCTAGAATTGCTTAAAATGACAGATGATCAGTGAGGAAGCTGCCTGAAGAGAGTCCTGCTGCAGATGCTGCTGGAGAAGAGTGAAACCCACTACAAGGATGGAAATGAAGCCATTATGGTAGTTCTACCTGCTGGATTTGTAAATAATTTAAAATCCTTTTAGCTGATCTTTAACTTCTGGGTTTTGAGCTTATACTTCAGAATTCATACTGGGAATAACCAGTTGTTTGGGTTTTTTTTTCTCTACACTGTATTTTTTAGGGGAAAAATGTGCAAAGTGGCCAAACATACAGATTTTACAGACTTACTTTAAAAAGTGGATACTGTTTAATGTAGGACCTGTGATACGAGGCATCTGCTTTTCTTCTGGGGTTTACTGATTAGTGTGGTAATTTTAACTTCCTTTAGTAATCACTCTAGGAGATTTTTTATCTTATTTTCATGACGTTTCATGATTTGTTCTTGGTTTCAAGTGAAACTACAAAGATGATGCATTTTACTGTGAAAACTACTAATTGATTTTTTTTTCTTCTTTCCTTTCCTCATTAGATGAGACACTTTTTTTTTATTTAACAACCCTCTGCCCTGCCCCACTCCCAAAAATTAAATTTACAAGCTTTCTGTGACTACATGGGTTTCTTGGCAAGACTGCGAGAAAACTTGGCAGGGGCAGGGGGTTTAAGATTGTAATTTTTCACTAGTCATGACTTGTAACAGGAACAGACTGCTAGCTAAGTTTGCAGACTAATTCTTCTCTATTTTAAAAACTTTAAACAAGAAGCAAACTACAATTTATTTATTGGCTTGATACTAAAATGAAGTCCTGTTTCTGTTGAAGATATCTGATATAGAGGAAGAGTTCTGTAGTACAGATGTTATTTATATGGTACATACTTGGCGTTAGATGACAAAGGGAGGAGATTGCTTTCATTTATTTGAAGACTTTTCTGTAATCCGTGATTTTTAACTTCATCTTAATCGAAAACAACTGACAACTTGCTTTATTCAAAGCCCAGTTTCTAAAATTAGAAAAATACTGACTAATATATTTTCTGGTTTTAAGTTAATGTTAACTTTCCCTCCAGGACACTAAGATTTGAGTGTTTATTCTAATACAGTATTTTCTACCTTTTTTGGTATGTGGAACTCCCTAGATTTTTTTCTTTTTCAGTTGAATTGAGACGCCTTTGAAATCTATGTATTTAGGTTGCTGCGTAGCGTAGATAAACTCTCTTTTCTTCAACACAGTGAGGGCTCACAAATCAGAGGCTGAAAACCAGTCTATAAATTTTGTCTTGCAAAACCATATGTGATGTCACATAATGTAAAGGGCACATCAGGGGGACAGTGTAAAATTCAGACACATGTATCATCCAATATATTTTTGGAAGGGGGTTTATTTCGCTTTTTAAATAGTCATCAATTTCCATATTTCCCAAATGTTGAAATAAATTAAGTGTTAACTTGTCTGATGGAAATAAAGACCACTACTGTTTTGACAGTTTTAATGTATCTGTGGAATTAATTTCTTGAAATTGGTGATGTGAAATATATAACACTGTGATATATATGACTAATAATAATTCTTTGGTTGTTCACGTTTTACTCTTTGTTATGTTGCTTTGGTCTTTGAAGTTTTTTGCCTGCTTGAAGTTCACTTTCATAGACTGTAAACTACAAGATGAAACAATTGGCGTGGTGTAGTTGGTATTTCATGTAATACTGAGCGTGAGGTAAGTGGGGACAGTTCTGCTCGGTGCCTCCAATACTTCCTGAACAAAACGAAACTCTCATTAAGCTTATTTGCTAAATCTTGTCTATAACTAAAAATTGGTTTGTATGGGGGGATTTTGGGGAGGGGGTGAGGGTTTTTTTTGTTTGGGTTTTTTGTTTGTTTCTACGAAGAGTTCAGAATGTGAAGTAGTAACTGCATTTCTTACGACAAACAGCAGAGGGAAGCATAACATGACAATATAAATACACTTTGCTAAAGCAGTGGAGCTCGGGGCAATTTGAGCTTGGTTTGGTTGTTTCAGAGAAAGATTCCATCTTCCTGGTCAGTTTCTGAAGGGAATTTAATATGGGAATATCTGTCAATTAAGTGTTCTTGCATTCTTAGCATTTATAGTTATGTGTAGGAAGGATATAATGTCAAGTAAACAAATAAGAAATAGCACTTCATTTAAGATTAAAATGCTCTAGTCCTCAAAAAAAAAAAACCTAGCAAACCATTCAGGAAAATATATATGGACTATGCAAGATGCACTTACTGAGGCTGTGTGGTTGAAGGAGGAGAGCACAGTTCTGATAGCCTTAAAGTTGGCTATAAAATTCCAGTGACTGTCAGGTAAGTTGATCACAGCAGTTCTAAGAGAAGCACAAAATGAAACTTCAAAATGCTGATTTGAAAATGAAAATGCTTAATAGGTAAGTTGCTGTAGTTAAAAGACTGGGGAAAAAATACTCTGAAGTGTATACTACACAAATGCGTACATTTGGGGAAAAATGTTAGCAAACTAAATAAATAGGATGGAGAGTTACGAGAAGTCACTAACTAGTAGAGGAGCCTGGTGTACGTTAAATTCTTCCTTTCCCAATGGCAAAAAGCCTACTGCAAAAGTATCTTTTTGTTACCTTGAAATCTACAGTTGACATTTTTTACTCTTACCCCACCAGCACCATCACGGGAATCTGCTAGTGCTGTAATTTGCTTCTTTACCTTCAGGCTTTGCTTGCCTTTGCTGATCCCAACTTCTGTTTGCCTCCCTTGTACCTCCTCCTTGATGACCGGAAGGAGTGAATGACAGTGCAATTGGTTTCTAGTGCTGTTCCTATATTTTTGCCATAGGGGAGCACTTTGGGGCTGTTCTGAGAGCATCACTTGTCTCGAATTTTTCTGATTGTGTGTTGTATCTGGTTGCTGTCTACAGTCATCTGTTGGGAGAGTTCTTTGCCCTGCCTCATCATCCAGAGGAACCTAAGGAGTCTGAAAACAGCCTTGCTTACACAGAAGAACCTCTGCTATAACTGGTACAAACTAGAAATTTGATCAAGCAAAGCTCTGTTAGGCTGCTATGGAAGAGTTGTTTTGGGAATGGTGAGGGAGAAGGAGACTTCCCTAAGGAAGATCAGGGAATTTGCAGATTTAGTATGTATGCAAAGCACTTGTTCTGGTATAAATCGGTGTGATCTCTTAACGAGCGAGGCTATGGTAATCTATCTTCTTTTTCTGAAACATATTAAGATATGTTGCAGCAGAATGAGTGGGATTCCTTGATCTTAATTGTGATGGCTTCTGCCAAGGTCCGCTCTTCTGGACTTGAACATTTGTTCTTGGGAAACACATGCTACTCTCCTCATTTTTCTCCCCCTGCTGAGAAACCCCAGTTTCTAATGGTTTTGACAAAAAGGTTTAATTACCTCCCATAGGAAGAAGAGTCTGTTTTAAAGGAAAGTTTTTGCGCTGAGTTATTGAGGAGAAGTTGCTGAAGAATAAGAGATGTCTAAGGGTATTTGCCTGCTCAGATTTGATAAAGATGTATTATGGTATGCGTGGAGGCGTACAATTCTGACTTCTAGGACAAGTGGGGTGTTTGCAGTGCATTCCAACCTCAAAGCTGTCCTGGTGTTTCACTGTTCTAGGCGCTTATGTTACCATTAGACTGTCACAAGATACTTGCAAGTGATTTTTGGCAGGACACAGCAGAACTTTAGATGGGAAAACCATATGGGGTTGAACTGTTGACAAAATAAATATACATGATTGTTTCCAGTCGGGTGAATTCTTCTACTGGGGTCTGTTTTTAAAGTACAAGGTGTCTTTGAATTTGGGATTAAACAAAATACAGGCTATCAAAAAGACCACAGTCTGTTCTGTTTCTTGCTACTTCTCAATACCTGAAAGGTGGAAGACATCTGATCTTTAGTATGATTGTTTAAACCTGAAAACTTAATTCAGTTTCTGATTCTTCAGTGTTACTGGTGCTGGTTGGAACTTAACTAGTTGCACAATTATTAGTGTTTGTAGAGAAAAGGGATGCAGGGACTGTGCAATAAGTGTCGGTTCTTCAAACCTCCCCCAAAAAATACCAACAAAAGAAGCAAGATAAAAATTGTGGTTCTAGTTGTAAAGGTTAGGAGAACCTGTCAGCTGCCTTGGGAATTGAGATTTCACCTCAGGCAAGGGGAGGTACTGGCACTTGGAGAGGTGGAAGAGTAAGAAAAGCTGGGGCTCCCAAGAGGGACTGAGCCTGGGAAAGGGATGTGGCAGCATGGTCTTCAGAGGTTCCTGGGGGTGACGTGCAGAAGGTGGGAAGGGCACTACAGGGTAAGTGCTAAACTACTGGTAGCGCAACCAGTGAGAGGTGGGGAGGTCAGGTGGTTTGACAGTGGCAGGCAGCGTGTTCTAGCTCAGCGGTGAAGGAGGCACGCGGCTGGGTGGTGGGGAGCGAAAGCAGTTAATGTTACTGCTTGGGTCGAGCACCCCTGTGTGAAGTGCCCAGGGACGTGTGCTGCAGTGTGAGTTCGCCAGGTGCAGATGTGCTCTCTAGTGCAGACACCAGCCTGGTCTCCAACATTGCTTGTCTTGGTATGTGAGGCACAGCAGGGATGTACTGGCCTCGAAATGATTTTTATATTTTTCCTACATCAAACCGAGCTCTGTTGCGCTGGCAGAAACACGGCTCCTCTCTGCTGGCCTTCAGCACTTTGCGCTGTTGCGTGCAGCTGTGGGAAGCAGCTGGTTGCGGCAGAGGTCAACAGCCTGCTGCTGCTTCCCCCCGGGGTAAGCCCCAAGCTGCTCGCCAGTGCTGGGGTGGTGCAGTCAGCGGAGCCCCCCCAGCAGAGTGCTTCAGTCCTGCCTGGTTTATTTCTACACACCGTAGGTGCAGCTGTGAAACAGCAAGTTAAGGTATGATTTAAGGTGATGAAAGAGGGCAAACAACCTGATATGGCATCATGTACTTAAAACAGCAATGTGTCACTCCCTGTTCTTAAGCGCTTTTGCTTATTTTGTTGTGATGATCAGGGCACTTCCAGCTTCATAACTGTCTTTCCAAGCTGGCAACTTCATTGTTTTCCAGCTTTTTGGATCCATCTCTCTGCAAACATAAAAGTTGAGCAAGTCTGAACATTGTGTGTAGAACAAAGCAGACGCTACCCTTTACCAAATGCCATGATGTACCAAAGCAGCCTTGGCAATGTGTGTATAGGGTTCAGTTTACCCTCGTTACGGACATCTCCATTTATGCCCACGCATGAGGATGTGGCCTCCACTAACTGTGTTACCACTTTCTCACATGGTATGTTAGATTTTTTATTTTTCCAAGTGGCATACCTTTTTGGTTTTGTGAGAGGAACTTCTCCTTGCAAGGGACTACATATCCTCAGCTGCCTTGAAAGCACTGAGGAAAAAGTCTTAGAGCAAGACAAAGCCTCATCAAGGAGAGCCACTGGTTTGACAATGCAGAAGATGGTGCAACAGAGACATCAGTGCTTCAAGCAACAGGATTGTGTGGCTGCTGGTATGTTGAGACTTGGTTGGGGTTTTTTGTTGCTGTTGTTTGGGGAGGTGGGTGGGGTGTTTTTGGGG